ACAGGAATCGAAAGTATATAAAATAGTACGCAAGGAAAATTTAAAAAATTCTCAGCTCAAGATTCTTTTATATACATGTTTATAATAAATATGTAAATTCTTCATGTAAAAAATTAAAAAAAATGAAGTTTCATTACATGGACAGAAAAGCAGAAATGAAACATCATCACTTTTTTACTTCCTTGTACAAAGTAAAAAGGAAGTTTTTAATATATTATTAATTTTTTTTTTAATTTTTACGAAGTAAAGGAAGTATTATAACCGCAAAAAATTTCCGATATATTTCAACGAAAATATCTATTTTACTGCTCTCGAATTTATTTGAACGATTTTTTTGCGTGTCATCTGTACTAACGGACAGAATGATGGACTCTTTATTTCCAAAACGCACTGTAAAATGGATTCAGAAGGCATTTTTTCGTGACGTTTATATGTAACGATTAGCCGTAGAACATTGAGATTTTGTATTTTTTGTATAACATCTAGTTCTGCATCTCCCCTCACCCCTTTTTTTATTTATTATTATTATTATTATTATATTATTATTATTATTATTATTATTATTATTATTATTTGCAATCGGTCGCATCAAACGTGTATATATTAATTTATTTCCTAAACAGTATTGATTAATTGATATATATATATATATATATATATATATATATTGGTAAATTGTGCATTTTTTGCTTTAAAAGTGATTGAACTATGTTGTTCTTATGCTCCAATCAAGGTTTTTAGCTTTTAGTTAATTCGCGTGCAATAATTGTAGAATTATCAACAATTTAGACGTGTGAGGCCTGGCCAAATGGTAACTTTAAATATTTGTACACCGAAAGTTTTGTCTTTCTGCTCGTTGGTTCAATTACTTGTTTTGGCGCACAACTCTAATTTCATTGCAAAAATATTTTTTTTAAACTGTTTTTAACTGTGTTTGGTGATTTAGGTTTTTTTTTTGTATTTTATAATTTTTAATAAAGATGTTTTGAGTTTTTTATGTATTTTTGCCTTTCGCAAAATGAGAACTAAGTTGATTGAATGAGAAATATATCTCTAATGAAATTCGGGAATAAGTTTAAACGGAGTGCTTTAAAAAATGTTTATAATTTAATAGGCATAGGGAATGCCACATGGAAGGCATGTGGTGTCCATATCAGATTTCTTTTCTGTGTGTGTGCAGATGAAATTACCTCTTTAAGTCTCTCGTCTTACATAAATCAGGTGGCTACTGGATGTCATTTTTTTCACACTCAACTATTTGAATTTCATAAGCATAGAGTAATAACTTTATATTAATTTTAATTTTTCTATTTTCATTTATATTAATTTTCATTTGTTATCGATTCCAAAATAATTCAAAGTTCAATTTTTAAAAAATACATCAATTTCTCTCTCGAAAATCAGAGAACTTTTGTATTTGAATTTAACAGTACGAGATTGAATTTGAATTGAACGAGATTGAATTCTGTTAGTTTTTGAACCCGAAGTTGGTGCTCATTTCTTGCATTACTTAATCATACAAGTTTTAAGCCCTTTCTTTGTCAATAAACGTTTTTCGGAACATTGATAAAGAATCTGAAGAATCCGTAATAATCTGATAAGAATCCGTAATAAGGACACAGAAAGCAATTTTAGAAATTATCTGGAATCTTAAGATGTAATTTCGTTTGGAACGTAGCAGAGAAATTCTGAGAGTCCTCCATATCAGTTATACCAAGCCTGATTAAAAATTTTTGAACTTGCTTCTATTTCTTTTTCTCGATATTGGCAAGCCTCAGTTAAATTCTTTTGATGGACGTGCAGAATGGAGATCAATATATTGCAGTATTTGATCTCAGCGAGGGAAAACACCTAATGTGTTTTGTCGTGACGAGGAAGACGTCGCAACCAAAGCACGACAGAGGGGTGATTGAATTTTGTGTTAATTTGGAAAGACATGCAAAGGGTGGTGAAATATTTTTGCCGAGTGCTTCAAAGACGGTAACACGTGAATGATCGAAAAAACATGTTCTGACATGCCATGCATTGTAGTTACAAATGTGAACAATGGCAACCCAAGGTTAAGCGATTGCTTGTAGGCAAACATCCTGAAGACCAATATGCATGAAGACGAGAAAAAAAGACCGGATTTGCTCAGGAAACGGTGGTTTTTAGTCTTACAGTTAATGCTTCCTCTTACTGGACAATGCTGATCTCTTGTTGGTGTTGTGACATTGGCAGAATTGTATGAAATCGATGTAACTGAACTGGAATGCACTGTACAATATAGCCCATCTTGGCATTTCTGAACATTTTGGACATTACGAAGACACGCAAAGATCCTGTTCCTGATGAGAAAGAGATAAAGCAGTGCTAGAAGGGATTTTATCAAACAGGCTATCTCATGTTCTTGAATTGTTCATAAAAAGCCGTAAAGCATGTACGCTTTTTGAGGGTCTGTAGAATCATCCGGTTCTAAATATTTTTTTTTAAAAAAGGCTTCTCAATCAGCTTTAGTTAGGATAGTTTTTGTAGATGGAGGACTTGTCAGTTCATCAATCGCGAGTTGCTTTTGTATCGACCGCGAACCATCCATTTATTACATTATTAGATTATTATTCTATAAATTAGTACATTTGTTGAATGTCGATAAACTTGCAAAGTTTTCGTATTAAAAAAAGTTTGCGATCGTTAAAATTCGGAGCAGCTGTGATAGGCTTGTATTAAGATGGCCTTGCACAAACGAGCTAAATATTTCAAAATGAGTTAACAAGTAAGACATTCAGCTGTCTTAACTACCATACTTTGCAGCAGTGGCGTATATAAATAAATTTTCTTTTCCTTCTTTCTTTTTCGTTAAAGGCGTAAATAATTACTTCTAAATTTGAAGTTGCTGATAAGATTAGTATGATTTTCAAAAAGCGTTTTAAGGAGAAAATGTACTAAAATTGAACCATTGTGGCATATTCAGTCAGGTAATTCCTAAATTTGTTACTTTTGTTTTCAAGTAGTAGTTGCTTACAAGTTTTAATGAAGTATTTATATTTCTTACAAAGTTCTAGTTGCTATTCAGTTACATGAAGTGCTTCCCTCTTTCTATTCGCTGTCTGTCAGTTCGAAAAGTACACATCTAACAGAATTCAAGCGGAACATTTTTTAACTAGAAGAATGGTTAAAGAATTTCCTTTTTCAATAGTTAAAAAAAAAAGTAATTAAATGCAGTGTCTGAACCCGTCGTTAGCTTATGACAAGTTTATAATTGTTAGCTCTAATTCTTTACTGTTCCTCCATCCAGATGATTTCATAAAATGTTATAAAGATGCAGACATTTTTAAGCAAGTAAGCAAATGTTCACTAAGATCAAGATCTTATATGGGTGTCCCAGCAGCATCAATAAGGGTTAGGGTTGTTTTCTTCATGATACCGAACTTTATAAATCTGCCGGCAGATTTGCGCCTTTAGTCCGGACGCCTTTCTTCTTGGCAAGCGACTGTCATCTTTAAAAGAGAAGCTTAGACTTTCTTGAAAGCTTAGACCAGACTGTCATGCAGTGAAACTTGTTGCTTGTGAGTGGAATTATCGTCGTCTGTGAGTACCTAAAATTAGTTTTCTGCGGGAGTTCTATTTTGAGTTTCACAACCTGTTGAATTAAGAGGGAAAAGTTTGTTCCAGAGGTGATTTTCGCACACTGGGTAATGAAAAATTTTCTACAAACTTCCTGTTCATTTTCTTTTTAAAATTTTATTTGTTCATTTATTTTATCTTTTGCTTTTGAAAAATTTTTTTTTTGGACAACAACAACAAAAAAAAAAAAAAAAAAGTTTTATTCTCATAAAAAGTGTTTTTTTATTTACAGTAATTTTTATATGTTGTTCTGTTGTTAGCTGTCAACCTTCGATGATACGTCATTCAATAAAAAATAATCTATTAATTGGGATGACTTCAAAGCATCATAAAATAAGTTAAAAAAGAGAGTTTTTGAAGAGTTTTAAATAAGTTTATTTTATAAAAACTTTTTTTTAAATCTAATTTGATTTTTATCTTTTTAATCTAAATTAACAATGGATGAAAAATCACTTTTTTCTACTCAACAATTTCGTTTTAGTCAGATAGTTGAAAATATCCCGTGGTACCAGAAAATTCACGAAAACATCGATTTTGCTTTAATATGATTATCAAGAAAAAGTTTAAAAATTGATGGCTAACGTTTGACCACAGTAACAAACACCATGAATGAACAATAAAAGCTAATTAAGAAAAAAATCTGAAAGCTATCAGTTTTATAGTATGCCTAAAGGGGCGTTTTGCCCATATTCGTAGGAGGATTACGTCATTCCAAATTCGATGGCTGTATGTACCGTCGTTTTTTCACAATGCGAGAAACATACATACATTCATGCAGGTTCCTCATTATTTAATTTTTTTAAATATAATACAGGGGGACAATATTTGGTGGCAACAATCTGAAAAGTGAAACTGACATTTATAGGTATTCGACGCAAAATGCCATTTCGAGACTAATAACTCTTCTGGGCTAACGCCCCTTTTAGCTAATAATTTTTTAAAAAAGATTTAAATTAATCTTTCAGGTTTACCCATTAATTCGAAATAATTTTACAGAAAGGACGAGATACTATAATTACTTACATAATGATTTTTGTTTTGATTTTCAACAGCTTTCGATTCGACTGGCATACAAAATTTGAAATTGAAAACCACCAAAACTTTGTGTCGTTTTGCAGCCACAAATCTCCAAACCGTTTGATCTTTTATAATATTTTCAGCTTTGAAACATTTTTGATAATCTAAGGTCATATAAATATCACAATATTTTATTAACTCTTCAAAATCAACAAGTTATTACAAAGTATACAAATTGCGTTTTATTTAATATGCATTCTTAAAGAAGCAAAACGATGTCCCTCTGTATGTTGTACAGAGCTGTGTTGCATCGAATTCACGGTATACTTTGTTAATTAAACATATGCCAATAGTTATATAACTAATATCTCCCTTTACAGGTCTGGTCTCATGTTCTCCAAATCCATGCAAAAACGGCGCGTCCTGTGTTTCTAATCCTAGAGGTGAATCATATTGCAAGTAAGTGTTATAAATTATTCTGTTTTTGTTACTTTTTTTTTAGATAGTTTCGAGAATTTATCGCGTTATTTGTTGCTTGAATAAGCGTAGATGTTAAACAGTCTTCAACTGATGCATGTTTTTTTTACAAGTTTCATAACAGAATTTGAGAATACGAAGGAATATATGGTGGCTGAATTTGCATGCGAACGTATCCTGCACTGATGATTAAAATATTTGGAGTTAATCGTTTTCCCTTTTTAAAAAATTTTTAGGAATGGCAACAGGAAAAAAAAAAAAAGCAATGCATATTTTTAGAATTCTTCAACTCTAATAAGTTTTTAAAAAATGGCAACTGAACCAAAATTTTTGTTTTTATAATTTTATCCTTGATATAAAATGGCATTTTTCGATGTAAATTTGACATTAAATTTCTGCAGAAATTTATAAACACAAACACAGGCAATATTTTGGCTTCAAAGACTTATTTATGGGTGTTAGACTTATTTGATTGGTATGACAAAAACACAATGTTTTAGTTAGTTATATTTTAAAGTCTGGTTATATATGTTCTATTTGTTTCCGAAATTTGGCTATTGTTCGAAATAAAAAAAATTAATTTTAATTTCTGTGTTGTTTCAAAATCCGCAAAAAAATAGTCATTCATTGTTGCATGAACAATATCATTCTACTTTTCGTTCAAACAAATGCGAAAAAAATATTTTCCTCTAACTTTTTTTCAGACTTTTTTTTTATTAGAAATTAAAATTATATTGCTCAGCAGAATTTTTAAATCATATGGTCCACGCTATGTTTGTTTGGTAAAATGCATACAGTTTTAAACATTATTGGGCAGTTTCTGTGCATCCATCAATGTGTTAAATCAGGATTTTAAAGAGCTGCTCTTTAATTGCGCACATGGAGGCCAGTCGGGGAATTCATATTTAGTTGTCTGCTTCTCATGCGGGGCTTTTAAATCCCTCTTTCAGGCCCATCTGCCGGCTCGCATCAAACGATTCCGTTGCTGATCACGTGACGCCGATCTCTATTGTTGGAGTATAACGGTTTTTCTGAGCCTAATGTTTTCTATTCCTGCCTTTTGGCGTGGGTTATCGCTTTTTCCAAAATATTCCTAACCCTTTACTGTGTTAAATTAATTTTTTTACTTGTATTATTGCGAAATGCAATATATAATCAAAAGATTGCAAGAAAAATTTTACTCGATAATCCAAGTTTTTAATTTAAAAAATTAGTTAATTCCAGACGCGATTTTAAGTAGCAAACTTTAGTAACTGTAATTTTCAAAACATGCCTTGAATTATTTTTATCTTAGGAACTTAACTATAATAAAGAAGAAACAAAATAAAATAATCCAACTACTTCTGTCATGTATTAATTCATCTTAATCGTCGGTTAAAAGTTGCGAAGAAACTTCCTCCTTTAAAATGCATCGAAATAAATTATCATAATTAAATAGCGAATATTTTGCTATTATAAGCATAGAATGTTCCCTGAACAAATTGCAGTATATCATTGTGAAATATTTTTGTTCCAAGCACAGATTTATTTAAATTTTATTAATTATAGAAAATTTGCATTTATATCGTATTTCATAATATTCTACCCTGAACGCTGAAATTATTTTGTTAAATAAATGGTTTCATTTCTATATTGATAGTTAACTGATGTCTAGTTTTCTAATGCTCAATGTATTATTGAAAAGAAAAATTAAGATTTTTTTTAACATATGATTTATATTCAGAGTATGTATTTAAATCTTCCGGTTAACTGTGTTAGCTTGCATTATTTTTGTTGAGAACTGAACAAACGGTGTTTGCCATTTTGTCTACGTGAATTTAAAGGTACTGATTTTATAATTCACAATCATGACTGAATTCTACGACATGAATTAAAGTCATCTTGAAAGTATCACAAACCTAGAATTTTCTGTTTACGATATTATAGTAACCCTTGAAATATGTCGCCATGAAATGCTGAGAGCAGGTGTTATTCGGCGTCCTATATGCATCCCAGTGACGTCAGATAGAACAAATTCACGACCGTTGGGCGATCGTTCATTGACATTCCCCTGTAGTATGAGCTCTGTAACTTCATCTAATCAGTTATCTTTGTAAGCTGTATTTTTATTAGCATCACCACAATGAAAATAAAATGCCTGGATAAAGGAGAAAATAAAAATGTTGGGCCTTTATTATTAGTATTAATTAATATTTTATTTTATTTATCATAAGAAGCACAAAAGTTTCCCAAAACTATGATGTTAATGTTTTGAAGACATATTTTGACCATTTTACATTTGACCGTTCTGTACAAAATTTGCAAGTTTTTTTGTGAAAACTTCATATAAATTTCAACTATGTGCAATGATTCAGAATCGATGCTTCAGACAACCACATAATTTAGTAAGCTAGTTTGTTGATGATTCTAAACGTCTGGTTAACAACAGATATCTCTCATTTCACACCTAGATTAAAGTAACCACACGTCCCGATTTTGGCGGGAAAGTCCCGCTTTTTGGAGGACTGTCCCGCGTCCCGCCGATTTTTAAAAATGCCCCGCTTTTTAGAAAACATCTGCATTTCTTATTTTAAATGTACTGTAAAAACATATTACCTATTATTTATTAATTATTATAGTGATTGTAAAGAAATAAAAAAAAAAAAACCACATAAAATGCATGCAGAGTAAAAGATGATGTAACGAGTTAGATTTACTCGGTGGTGTTCGATCATTATCGTTACGTCTGGTCAAGGAATATGTATTGTTGTGTAACGGAGGAACAGCTAGCATTAGCTGAAGGGCTTTTAGAATATATTTTAAAAATATACAAACCATTAAAATTATACTTTTTATCACAAGGTAAATGTCCAAGAATATTGCAGCTGATTTTTGAAAATGACACATCACAAATTTGTCTTCAATCCACAACCAAGCTACATTATTTCACAATGCTGTGAAAATTATTGAAAGGAATAAAATTTCAATTACGGAAGTGTCAAATGAAATCAATAATTTAAAAACAAGATTGTGAGAAAGAATTGATAACGATTACGTTCCTTTAGTTATTCGAAAGGACATCAAGAAGGGAAGGTTGGAAGAACAAGGTGCCATTAAACGACCGGATTTTCTGAAAGAAATCATGAATTTTTATAATAACTGTTTGAAATATTTTGAAGAATGGACAGTTCAGTTCGAGGATATTCAAAATGTTCGCTGGGGGGCATTAAAAAGGGAGGTTTTATGGGAATATGTGGAAAAATATTTTGAGTATATGAGTAACCATTTTCCGAAAAATAATATTTGCGAAAATGATCTTTTCCATGAGGTGTCATTGGTAAGAAGATACGTTACTGATGAAAAAATTAAATGTTGGTTGTCTGCAAATGTACAAACAGTCAAACAATGGACGGAGTTATTCCTTCATTTTAAATAGAATAATATTCTTTATCAAAATATTTTGAAAACTGTAGAATACACGCTCTCTCTTCCAAGAACAAATGCAACAAGTGTTTTTTCTAGTGCAATTAAAATATGGACAACTGAAAAAAACGCAGTTGAACATGAAAACTTTAAAATCTATATTAAGCGTAAAATATAATTTGACTAATTCATGTGAGAAATTTCACGACATTTTAATAAATGATCCGAATCTATTGCATATTATTCACTCGGAACAAAAATATGACCGTGAAAGAAAATCGTAATTTTTTTAAATAATAAATTTAAATTAATTAAAAATCATAATATTCAAATTTTTGTTTGTTACAAATATTTTTATAGTTACCAATAATTAATAATAAATATTTTTTGTATATTTATAGACAAGTATATGAATGTATACAATAAATATATTTTTTTTTTGAATTATTGGTCTGCCTTCATAACTAAATTATAAATCTCGCTTTGTCCCACTTTGTCTAAATGAATATCTTTACCCTAGAACTAACTATTTAGATGAAAAATCAGCCGCATATTTTGAAAATTAAATTTCCATACAGATTTCTAAATTTAATAATTAAATTTCCAAATTTTCGTTTTGATTGATTGAACTCACACTGAAATATAACTTCCATTATAAGGGACTAGAACACGTTTGTGTTATTAATTTTTCGTCATCAACTTAAGCTAGTTTCAGATCTTGAATTTTGCCTCGTGTAAATAAAGTTATTAGTTGATTAATTTAGTTTTATTAAAATAAGTTCAGCGGCTTTTTTCATTCAACTTTCGAAACAAAAACATATATTATTTTGTTGAAAGAGTATTGTTTTAATAATTGAAGCTTTTATTAAGCTTTAAAAAATAGTGTTAAATTCTATGACAATAAATTTCTGAAATACTATATTTTTCATTTCATTTCAGTATGTAATTTTTCATTTTCTTTTCTGTAGCTATCTTTTTTATGAATTCGAGATCATGTTTCTAAAGTCGTGTTTTTAAGATTTTTATGCATATATTTTAGGATTTCGAGTAAGTAGTTAATCAATAGCAACCCCTAAATTCAGCTGTTACGTTAAGCATTAGTAAAGTGAAGTAAAAGGCTATATTTTTTACAAATTTCTCCGATACATATGCAAAAAGAGAGCACAGACTACAATTTCCTTGCTTTTTAGTTCTCTTCCTTCCTTTTACTCTGAAGTCCCGCTTTTATTATTTCCCCTCTTTTTTTCTCTCTGATCATCTGAAGCATCAGATTTCTTAGAGTGAGTACCTGTTTGAACAGGTGATGAAAGCAAGGTTAGAAGCGAAGGGTATGGAGATTGGCTCTTCCGAATATATCACCTGCTCTAGGACTGAATGCTCTTACTTTTTAACCTGATTTTAGTGTCTTCGCTTACTGAAATAGCAATTTCAATGTTAAAAAGGAAAAAAAAAAAAAAAAAAAAAAAATAAGATAGGTATATGTATGTAGAGAGAGGCTTGTGATTTCATGCAACGTAAATATTGTGAAACTGTAAGAGCAACATTGCCTGTATATATTGCATAGTTTTGCATTCTTGGAA